CTCTCTCTCTCTCTCTCTCTCTCTCTCTCTCTCTCTCTCTCTCTCTCTCTCTCTCTCTCTCTCTCTCTCTCTCTCTCGCTCTCTCTCTCGCGTGCCATAACGGACTAGTTCAACCTTGCCGTCCTCTGCTGAGGTGTCCACTGCTGGACATGGGTGCTCCAGTGTTCTGGTGTGGTCTCAGTGTGGTCTTAAGTGCTGGAAAGGAGGAGGATTTGGAAGCCAGAAGACTAGCGAAAATCCAAAGATTGACTCAAGTGTACTCTCAATAATGGGATGCGCTTTGACTCCGTAAATGCGAGAGGTGGCCTTTCTAAACCGCCACCAGTCCCGATGGTAGATGGGGCCTGTCCTAATGGTAGATGGGGCCTGTGTCGGTAGACTTGGACGTAGGAGTGGAGGGGGAGGAGAATGGGCAGAAATTTTGATCCAAGGAGCGAAAATAAGACTTGTGACTATTGCCTGGTTGATGATGGGGCTGCCTGTCTGACTGCTTTTTGGCTACCTGCTTCCTGTGAAAGTCTCTGACGTGTGCCGATATCTTAAAAACAGTTTTTACCCAAGAGCGTAATAAAATTATTCCATTAACATCTAAGTATTCACTACGAGGAGGACTCTTTTTAGTGATCTTTTTCAGGTCCTAAGCTTGTGTCGGAGAGCTGTGGATGCTGTTACCTGAAAGGTAGCGTTGATGATAGTCCTGCCTGTGTGTCCGACTGCTTTGCCACCTGCTTTCGATGGATTGCCACTGACACGTGCAGGAGCTCTTAGAGCTGGAGAGCTGTGGGTGTTGTTAAGTGAAAGGTAGGGTTGATGACAATCCTGCCTGTGTGTCTGACTGCTTTGCGACCTGCTTTCGGTGAAAGTCTCTGACACATGCTGATATCTTAGAGCCAGAGAGCTGTGGGTGTTGTTACCTGAAAGGTAGTGTATGCTCTGCTTCTCTCTGTTGTAACCAGTGCGTCGAAGTATTGCTGTGCACCACGCTGAACAGTGTTGTTTTCTTTCCAAGGGTACAAACTTACTGATTCCCCATCCGCATCTGTTTGTGCAGTTCTGTTTGCTTACAGGCCTCTTGATGCAACATCTGCACCACCAATTGTCAATTGTATTGTGGATCCATTGGTCGAGGGTGTGTCGTTTGTCTTCCCCGTTGGAGTGAACTTGTTGTTCGTGGTGAGAACTGTTGGATTTAACTTGTTGTTCGTGGTGAGAACTGTCTGTTAGTGGTAGTAGTAGGAGAGAGAGAGAGAGAGAGAGAGAGAGAGAGAGAGAGAGAGAGAGAGAGAGAGAGAGAGAGAGAGAGAGAGAGAGAGAGAGAGAGTTGACCTCTGTGCCTTAGACTCCCTCACCTTTCTCTCCGTCCTGTCTGAATCATGAGCGAGTTACGTGATGAACTGATGGCCATGGGGTTTCTGTAGAAGGGCTTGAGTACTACTATCAGTCGTTGCAGTTTTTCAACGAAGGTTTTGAGGAGGGGGGATTGGGGAGATGTAGCATTCTAGCCTCTGGGCAATTGACAGGTAAGTTCGTGCACAGTAGCTTGAGAGAGGATCGAATACCAACTATTCAATTCCCCTACCACAATTAGCTACACCCGCAGTTGGATTATACCAGGGAAAAAAAGGAGCTGAAATAGTTGTGCTCGTAGTCCTGCTCATCCGCCACGAGGTGGGCACAACAAGGAGTCTGCACTGCAACAACTTGCATCACGAGTTATGGACTGGGAAGAGCATGGAGATAACCCTTTTGAAGATGATGATGAGGAGGTGGATACTGATCACCAAGAATCAGCTGGTGGAAAGCAGCTGATTGTCTACCTAGTAGACTGCTGCCCAGATATGTTTCTTGAGCCTGAGGACTCCGCCCATGCCACTTACTTCGATATGGCACTTCAGGCAATCGTTGCTGACCTGAAGTATCGCGTCCTGGCAAGCGATAAGGATCAGGCTGGGGTATGCTTTTTCAACACCCGTGAGAAGAAGAACATCCAGGAGTGGGATGGTGTGTACGTTCTCCACGAAGTGGGTCCTCTTTCCGTGCAGCTTATACAGAACGTGCGTGCCGCGTCGAGGGAGTTTGAACACAAGATCGGCTCGTGGAATGCAAGCTTCGGAAGCTCGGCAGCGAAGAATCCCCTTCAGCATGGTCTGTGGACTGCTCAGTCTCTTCTTCAAAGTTTGTCTATGAAGAAGGCTGTGAAACGCGTCCTGCTTTTTACGAACGATGATGATCCTTTTGGAGGCGTTGGATCTGCTGCAGTGGCTTCTGACAAGACAAAGATGACGGTACAGAGGGCGAATGACATGCAAGGCCTTGGGATTTCAATTGAGCTATTCCCCATGAACCGGCCAGGCGAAGAATTCAACGTTGGTTTGTTCTACAGAGATATGGTCAAGGTTGACGACGAGGACGAGAAGTCGGGCTACATGGTTGTCGCCACACAGCGGTTTGAAGACCTTCTTTATCAGGTGAAGAAGAAAACCTATTCCAAGCGCGTTCTACGACAGTTGAAGTTCAACATCTGCCATGGAGTCGAGATCGCGGTCAGCATGTATGCGATGCTGAGGGAGGCAAAGCCGCCAAAGCATGAGCTTGTTCGTGCGCGCGACAATCTCCCAGTCAAAACGGAGACCGCGAACATTTGCAACGACACCGGCGCAATCATGCCTAGTGCTAGTAAGAAGTTCTACAAGTACGGAGACGAGAAAGTCGTTTTCACACAAAAGGAGCTTACAGAAGTGAAGTCGCTAATGTCGGGACGACCGGTTATGAAACTCCTGGGATTCAAGCCCCTCGCGTGTCTGAAGGATTATCACAATCTTCGTCCGTCCGTGTTCATTTACCCAGACGAGAGCGCTGTAAGTGGAAGCACCAGGGTCTTCATTGCGCTGCACAAGCCAATGTTGCGCCTTGGGCGATTTGCAGTATGTGTTACACCTAGCCATCTATACGAGCCGCTGCTGGTGGCACTCGTTGCACAGGAGGAGGTAGTCGACGAAGCAGGTCAGCTCACTCCACCAGGGATGCAAATGATTTACTTGCCGTATTGTGACGATATACGTTACCCTGAAAAAATCAGCGCTGATGGAGACAAGCCTTCAGCACGTGCAGCGGACGATCAGATCAGCAGGGCGATGACGATGATTCAGAAGTTGAATCTAACAGATTTCTCCATGCAGGGCATTCATAACCCTGGGCTGCAGAGACATTACGCAGTGCTGGAGGCATGTGCGCTACAAGAGGACACAGTCAGTGATTTCAAAGATGACACTCTGCCAAATGAGAAGGGTTTCGCAAAGCCATCGGCTGTTGCAGCCATCACAGCATTCAAGGATGAGGTGTATGGCCCTAATCATGATGCTGAAGAGGCTGAAGCTGCGGCGAAAGCTGGAGCAGGAGCACAGAAGCGGAAGGCGGCGGCGGAGGCGGCTGCCACACAAGCAGCAAGCTATGACTGGGGGCAGCTAGCAAAGGCTGGGAAGTTCAAGTCATTGACAGTTGTAGAGCTGAAGTTTTATCTAGCAGCTCATGGTCTATCACAGGTGGGAAAGAAAGATGTGCTAATACAAAGAATACTGGATCATCTCAAGGTGTAGTGAGAAATCTTCATGGGTGCAGTACGTACTACACGTACATTTCATTACTCGGCAGTAGCAGGAAGGTAGCGAGGGTGAGTAAACACCTAAGGTGTTGATGCAAAGGATAGTGAGCATCTGAAGGGTTACAGGGTAGAGTGTAGTGCGAGGGTGTAGCTAGAGGGTGTGAGAGGGTAGTGAGAGAACACCAGTGTACAGTACGCATGCTGTCGGTTGTGGGGACGAGCAGAGGAGGAGGAGGAGGTAGGGATGACCTGGCACCTGAGCTGTGGGGTGTGTAGATGCAACAGAGTAGTGGAGCGTCAGCAGGTGCTGCGTGATGGGCGGCCATCTCGCATGGTTGAGAGAGATTGGTCCGGCTTGTATGTGGTGGACGACTATCTTGTCGATTGTCGGTAGCAGGGAGGGAGGTATGGCTGACCGAACGCCTGGCAGGAGTCGAACCCTGCTCTTTCCTTAGGTGAACTTTGGTTACATGGGTCGGGCGAAATCCACGCAAGGCTTGTTTGTCAGCTGAGGGCTTGTGCCTTTCTTCGCAAATTTGAGGTTTAATGGTTTAGGCGCTTTAGGGATTAGTGGGGTGAGGCCTTGCTGGTGCTATGTCCGACCTCAGAACGCAGGAATCTGGCTGCCAGACTGGCTAGGTTCATGGTAACTTTGCATCAACGTAGTATGAGTGGGCAGATGAACCCATAACTATCTTGTAAACCTATGTGCTCTTAACATTTTTTTTCTTCTTCAATTTGGACCAGTTCTCGATATATGCGTGTCATCCTTGCGCAGGGGCCTCATGCTAATCTTCTCTTTCTCTGTATCGTTCCAATCCTTTTAACGGATCTCCCGAAGGACACGCTAATAACATCTTACACAAGCACTGATCTTTTTTTGTTTTTTTAACTTTTTTTTGTTTTTTTAATCATCCTCCGGTCATGCTAGCAGAGGTGATACAAGCAGCCACTGCTAGCAACACAGGTGGCGCTGATCTCGATTCACAGAACAGGACATTTCTTCTGTTGTGAGGACCGCCGACTGACTGACGCCCTTGTATATTGTGACCTGTTTCACTTTTGCATAGATGCCCTCACTCTCAGACTACTATATTTGAGCTTGTTCGTAGAAATTGCGACGATACAGAGAAAAGACTACGCAATATGGGGCCCACACAAGCCTGACTCGCGGAAATCGGAAACTTGTCAACGGCCAGACTGTTTGTGAGCATATCCGAAGAATCCGGTCGTTGCAACAGAGTTATGCGAGAGACTATGTCGAGGCGAGGAGGCATGGGGGGAAAAAAAAAACATCCATTTTCTGCACTCTCTGTTTTCCTCAAGCTCAGAGTCGTTGTTTTTGCAACTCAATCCTAATCAATGCCGTCCAGAAATCGTTTGGCCGACTGGAAGGATGCGCGAGTGAGTGTATCTGTTGTCATTTTATATTTTACTACTTGCCGGGGTAAAAGGAACCGGGCTGACACTCTTCAGGGCATACGCATACTAGGACTTTTTCCACTTCTCTGTGGACGTAAATGCGGTCAGGTGCATCCAGGCCGGGTCGGAAAACCGGTCATATACATTTAGGAAGGTGCGAGTGTGAGTGTGCTCTCAGAATGGGTAAGGAGCCAGGACCATAAGGACCTGTTTATTAAAAAAAAAAAAAAAAAAAGATGCGAGGAACCTCAGGAAAAGTAAAACAGTACCTTTTCAACAAAAAAAAAAGAAAAAGAGAGTAAAACAGTACCAACTGCCTTAGCTCAGTTGGTACACCCATGAACTGATTGAAAACTTGAAATATGAATTAGATTATCAGACCCAAGCTTGAATCCACATGCAAGTTGATGCAACCAGATGGCCACAATAAAATACTTCTGAATTACCTGGGGCCGGTCGGTTCAACGATGATATCCCAAGGTCCTCTCCCTTTTAAAAGGGAAAAGAAAAAAAGAAAAAAAAAAGCAAAACAGTGGAGTACAACTGGTCTAGCTAGTTAAATACTAAATAGTTTAGATAAGGATAAAAGGTCTGGTGTTGGATCAAAGGAGAAAGGTATTAAAAAAGGACGTTTGTGTCAATATTGCACAAACACGTGTCTGCTGGAATGTGCCTGCACAGGCAGACAACACTTCCCTTTCATCGCACCTGGACAAACAGACGAGAGCATTCTTGGTGGTTTTTACGTAAACAAGCCACTGTAGCAGTGTGTTACATGCCATTAAACCACCAGTACCCTTTCCCATGTATCGGCCGCGGGCGGTTTCGGAGGCCCGAAACGAAAATGGGCCGCCGAAGGAATTTATCATCCGGTAAAATTGGAATGATACAGAGAAAAGATTTGCATGGCCGCTGCCTGCGCAAGGATGACAGACAGGGGGAGGGGGGGGGGGGGGGGGGGGGGGGGAGGGAAACCCCAAAAAAACAATGGTGGCCCTTTCCCGCTTGGCTTCCGAATATACTGGCACGACTTCTATTTTCAAGCGGAGGAAAAGGTACTGGTGGTTTAACAAAAGGAGAAGGTAGCAGAAATGGAGTAGGGCAATAAGCATTTTATCCTCTCTCGGCTCTAAACTGGGTCTAAACTGGGTCTAAACTGGGTCTGAATTGGGTCTAAATTGGGTCTAAATTGGGTCTAAATTGGGTCTAAAGACTCTAAACTGGGTCTAAACTGGGTCTTACCAGGGACAAACTGCATAGTGGGAGCTGGAGGTAATATCTCTGGGGGGCATGATGCTAAAGGCACTGCTTTTCTGTGAACAGTTCTCGCCCCCTGCTGCACCCCTCCTCCTCCCAAAAAATCATTCAGGGTCTCTTAGACTGCCAGTACACGGGTAGCTTTGCCTGATATTCATTTCGTCCTCCGCTGCTCTGCCCTTACCGAGGAAGCATGGATCTGGTTGTAGAGCTGATTAGGTTAATGCTAGCTGAGGACAGACAGACACCGCGCCTCTCCACCATAAACCTCGCTCACTGTCCGTGGTATCAGTATCCACCTCCAATGCTGATCAGGTTTTCTGCCCCTGGGGGGTCGGGGGGGTCAACATACACAACTGGATCATTAGTCCCTTCGAAGTTCCAACTGTGTAACTGTGCTTGTTGTGTGCAATGCTGAGTATTACCGCTGTTTTTTTGTGTGTTTGTGACACTGTGTGTGCTTGTTGTGCTCAGTGCTGAGTGAACCTTCTTTTTTTTTTTTCCAGTTTGGGGCTGGAGTTGGAGGGCCCGTGTTTTTTTTGTTTCTTGTTTTTTCAGTACAGGACTAGAATGTGCTGAGTGCAGTCAATGGACCGATTTCTAATCCGGTTAGCTCGTATAGTTTCCAACTTTCCAACTTTCCAACTTTCCAACTTTCCAACTCTCCAACTTTCCAACTCTCCAACTTTCCATCTTCTCCTGTTCTCTTTGGAACGGTGGTGGAGGAGAACTGGGAACCAAGATCGTCCTATCGTTTGGATTGCTGCTGTTGGTGCGCTACCGTCTTCTCACCCAAATAGAACGTCTGGTCACTATAACTGTAAGCAGACTGAAAGTTGCCCCAAATACACAGCTATAATGACTGGGTGCTCTGTTCGGGTGACCACGTGCCGCTATAATGACTGGGTGCTCTGTTCGGGTGACGACGTGATGCGGCAGTGGCATGGTGAGTGTATGCTCATCGGTTGTCTCCGACCTCCAAGGGTCCGATAATTACGATGTGGATGGTTTTTACTATGTAGATCTTCATTCTCGGCAGATTCTATGCGCAAGGACTGCGCGATTTTCGTAAGGGTCACAAACTGACACAAAGTGATGCATGCCTTCATCACCCTGTGTGTGATATTGTGTCGAATCCCCCTGATGCATTTGCTTTTTTTCGCTTTTTTTTTTTTTTTTTTCTGGGCAGTTCAGTGAGAGTTCACTTCATTTCAAGGTTTGTTGAAGGGGTGTTTGGCAGGGATGGGCTGACATCTCTCACTCTGCACCCGAGTTGTTTGAAACACATCCCTTCTTGCTTTTCATCTTCATGCATCATCACCTGCGACCCGTCTTCACTAAACTAGAACGCCTGGTCCATTATAGCTGTATTTGATGCGATTTTCAGACTGGAATACAGCGGCAATGACCGGGTGTTCTATTCGGGTGAAAGATAGTCGTTTGGGTACTTCCCCCCCCTCTTTTCTTTGCGCACACCTACTCATGCCACTGTGTTCTGTCCTCTCCTGTCCCTGTTTCTGCAGAAATGTGGCCACTATTTCTGCCTGCCTCCCGAATGTGGCCCCCATTACTGCCTCCCACGATCCCATGGAATTATGCAAAAGGGGGTGGAGGAGGGGTCTGGATATTACGAGATGCAGAGGAAGTAGTAGACCGGAAAGTGGGAGACACCTGTGAAACAAGCTGGAGAGTTGAGGACTTATTCCCCCCCCCCCCCCCCTTGATTTTAGTCAGGAGTAAATTAATTAAGCGGGCTACGAGTCACTCGATTGACTGGTTGACGCTCCCCTACAAAGAAAAATGTGTAACTCTGCTTCTCGTCCTCCTACCTTAGGGGGTACTCATACTAGCTCTATTTCAAATGTATCCGACCACATTTACGGCCGGTGCTGGATGCATCTGGCCCAAATTACGTCCAAAAAAAAAAAAAAACGTCCTAGTGTGAGTATGCCCTTAGTCCTCGTCACTCGGTTGGTGGTCCAAGGCCTTACCCTCCACCGTTCTCATCGTTTCGCCCTGCACTTGTTTCTCCTCCTCCCCCTCCTCCTCCTCCTCCTCCTCCTCTACCATCTCCTCATAACATCTCAAGAGGCACACTGTGAAGAAGGGTGGTGAAGAAATCAACAGAGTAATGACACTATCCTTGTCGTTTTCTCCTCCAAGCCTCACATTTTTCCATCTGGAGCTTCTTTTTTTTTATGTTGCAAAGATCTCTTTATTTTCCTAGTCCATAGCGTTTGGAATGTTGCTGCATGCTGCACTACCTCTCTCTCACACATGCAGTCACACACACAATCACACATGCAGTCACACACACAATCACACATGTAGTGTGCTCGCCAAACAAAGTTACGTGGTGTGCTCGACAAAAAGAGTTATGCAGTGTGCTCGCTAAACAAAGTATGTAGTGTGCCCGCCAGGGGGAAGCGCTTTGTGTGCTTGCCAGGGTGAAGTACATAGCGCGCTTGCCAGGGTGAAGTACATAGCGCGCTTGCCAGGGTGAAGTACATAGTGCGCTTGCCAGGGTGAAGTACATAGCGCGCTTGCCAGGGGGGGAACTTGTACTATGTAGTGTGCTCACCAGGCAAAGTGCACAGTGAGCTCGCCAAGCAAGGGGGAAGTACTATTTGTAGTACACATCGAGCTCGCCAAGCCAGGGCAAAGTACACAGTGTGCTCGGGGGGGCAAGCAAAGTACAAGCGTACTCACCAGGCAAAGTACGTAGCGTGCTTGCCTGGGGGAGATACCTAGTGTGCTTGCTGAGGCGGAAGTACATAGTGTACACAATGCGCTCGCCAGCGAAGTACGCAGTGTGTCCACTAGGGAAAGTATCTAGTGTGCTGGCCAGGGGGAAATACGTGGTGTGCTTGCCGGGGTGCAAGTACGTAGTGCTCACCAGGCAAAGTGCATAGTATGCTTGCTGGGGTGGAAGTACGTAGTGCTCGCCAGGCGAAGTACATAGTATGTTTGCTGGGGTGGAAGTGCATAGTGTGCTTGCTGAGGCGGAAGTACATAGTGTACACAATGCGCTCGCCAGCGAAGTACGCAGTGTGTC